TGGAACTTCTTGTCTTCCAGTTTGTGCCTATTGCCCCGTGTTCAATGTTCATGTAAAGGGATGCAATCAGCAGTTCACGTGTGGGTTTTTAAAGTCGTAATCAGTAGAGATTTTGTTAATACAAGTCAGGGCAGTAGGATTTGGTCCCAAATAGTCTAGCTTCCCAGCTAAGTGCTCTCATATGTGGTTACCGGCAAGCCAAGATGCTATGTGAGACTGAGGTATAATGCAATCCTACTAAATTCTCCCTATTTTTTTTTCTTTCTTCCTAGAGCAGAGAGGAATTGCATTACTTCATTTCCACTGGAAATCAACCAGATTGGGGTTGAGGGATAGGGGAAAAAGTGCTTTTTTCCATGAGCTGTCTCAAGTGCTCACTGCATATAATTTTAAAGTGCATGATCTCGTAGGTAGTTCTGCAGCAAGGTGAGAACTGTTCTTCTCCTGTTCTTCTCCTTCTGCCTCCTGTGCTGATAGCTCCATCCCCCCACCCTATGTGGTTTGGCAAAGGTTTGCTGCCACGTGGGAGCTCTGCTCAAGCCTAAGCTGTGTTGCCTCTGCCTGAGCTTTCCCATGCATATGCCCACGTCTGATGGAGAGGCAAGAAGGGATTTTCTAAGAGTGATAAGAGGGCTGTACCAGCTCTCTGGCATGTCCCACTTTGGTGATTGTCTTAGGAGGGCAGGAAGGTCTTCCTCTCTGAGGAAAAGTTTGGGAGTGTCAATTAATTTTCTGCTGCATTGAGCCAAGAGCCAGGATCTGAGGTCTCTTGCAGGTCTTGAAATTGGCATAAAATCATAGTGATGCCTCAGGCCAGGCAGTATTTTGAGCTCTGACGTGGGAATCCACAGCTGGAGTTTGTCTCCCCAGCTAGGACATATCTCCTTCTTCTGTTCTTCAGCTACTCTGGAAAAAAACTGTATTTCAGTTATGCTCAGCCCCATTTGCTCCCAGGCAGAACAGGCAAAGTAGTGATGACTACTGGGTTAGTCCCACCCAAGGAAAGATTTTATCTCTATACAGCTCTCTTTTGTGTTTTTCCTTTCTACTGTCGCATTGCTCAGTTCTGTGGTAATCGTTGCTCAAGGACATTTGCTCAATTGAGCTGATTCTCATCGTCTTTCCTGGCCTTCAGAGCACACAGGATGGCTGTAGCAGGAAGCAGACTTTTTCTCAGTGTGCCATTGGATAGTCGAATGCCCGAGTAATCTGTCTCTGTGGTTTGCAGTCCCATTGTTGACTTTACAATGTAGAGATGTGCTCTAGCATCACCTAACTGATGTCTAGTTGAACTTCAGCCACCATTGTGAACATAAGGGAGATTTGTGTCATTAGCTTAGTTCTGTTCAAATAAATGAATCACACTTCCTAATCCTCTAGTTTTCTTGATACTTACTTAGGGTGGTACAACAGAGGCAATAAGGAGAAGAATGGCCCTTGATTCAAGTTATCCATTCTGTTTGACCAGTCAAATTGCCAAAAGATCAAGGGCTTGAACTTCAGGAGGAAAAACAAAGCCAAACCCAGCCCCAGTAGTATAGCAGCCCTCCGCATTTGGAGATGGGACTTTCTGTCTTTGTTGAACATGGCTCCTCGAGTAACAACTGAGAGCATCAGAGCATCTTTAAGGGTGGGTATGGGTTAGGTGTTGGTTTAGGTGGGCTTGGGCTCCATTTTGCATACAGCTGCCAAAGCGAGTCATTCCTAAGCCACGGGATAAACAGTTCCTGCACTAAAATAAGGGTATTTATGTGAAATTCTGTGACAAACATCCTGATTTGGCTCTCACCTACTCAGATCTACAGCCTGTATCTCCCAGGTCTGACAGTAGGACGAGCCTTTGTGCACTGGGCTGGAAAGGAGCTCTAATGTGCACAGTGGACAGTGTGGAAGAAAGCAGGAGGCATGGACAAATCCAACTGCAGGCAAAACTCAGGAATAAAAAGCTGCTACTGTCTAGCTAAGCCCCTGAAAGGGACAGAGGCAGGCATCATGGCAGCACCAGCTCTGATAAGCCCTGAGCACCTGCAGGGATTGCTGCCCACCTCAGTGGGGAAATCTCTTTCCCTATGAAGCCAGCACTGTGGGAGCTTTGCTGTTTAAGGAATGTCTTATTTTATATATGTGCTTGAACACAGACAAACGGCTGCATGAGCTGCTTCTGTAGAAGTGCAAATAATAATATTGCAGAGCTGTTGTATCCTTGAAAATGGCCCAAGGCCAAAGCAGGATTTGGTTGTGTGCTTCTGGCGGTAAGGTTATGTGCTTGTACCAGATGGAGACTTTAAATTTTCATCAGCTGGTCTATAAACACAAAGAATATCCTTTTATCAGCCCCCAGGCCTCATGCTAATAAGCTGCAAGTGCTGATCTTCAATTAATGTGGAGTGGGGGCACAGATGAAATAATATACGTTCTTCCTGATGATTATCCATCATGTGAAAATGAAATCAAGACATGAATAATGACCTGTTTGTTTATTTACTTCTCCATCTCCTTTTAACACCTTTTTGATACTACCAATGATTAAAAATTGTTAATTGTTTGGGGCATAATCTCTAGTGATGAAACTCTGTTGACTACTTGCAGATATTGGGCCAAGCCAACACAAAGATGTGTTAAGTTTGCTATGGAAGGATGAGCAGAGAGGTATAAGCTTTGCAGCAATGCTGCTGACTGTCATCAGAGAATCCCAGCTTTCTTAGTGGGTGCAGAAGCATGGGGATTGATCAGTAGAATGCTGCCTTTGCCTTGAGCAGTGGGGCACTCTTGTGTGCTGTACCTATGTCCTAGCTGAGAAGCTCTGGCTAGACCTAGCAGGCATCCAGCTACTGGTATTGTGCCCCATCGTTCATAAATATTTCAGGACATTTGTGTGTTGGAAAAGCAGCATCAGCTCTTCAAGGTGTGTTGAGGAAGGACCTCTTCCCTGACGGATCTCTTCTAGGGGGGGGAAATGTGCAATGTATTCATAAGATCAGTCTCTGAATGTAGTTTGAGATGGTGCTGGGAAATTGTCAGGAAAGCTCAGGCAAGATGCAGCTTCATGGATTTTAGATTGGTAAATTCTGCATCTGTCTTTTCATGTCTTGCTTTAAGACAACTTTGCTGGAAGTGTAATTTACTGAGAATAGGACCTACCGTGGGAAAATATACCTATGTAGATTTGAATCAGTACATGAAAGAAAACTTCCTAATAATATAATTCATTATTTTCTGATTAATCAAATCCCAGAGTACACCCCTGTAACATATACTGCTTACTACTTTGGTGATTGTATGGACTGTGCTTCATTAGAGGACAGTATCTAAATATAGCTCCTGCTCATTTATAATTACAGAGAAAGCCAGAACAGGATTGCAAAGATCCTCCTCAATACCATGAAGCCAAAAGGATTTTACTTTCACTGGATCATGTAGTAGGATGGAGATATGTAGCTGGAGGCAGCTTCTGCTGTTTTACAAAATATTTAACAGCAAGCTGAGCATAAGAAGTAGCAAGAAGACAGCACAGCACAGGGGTTTGCAATTGCAACTGGAGCCTGAGCACAAGTGAAACTTGATTGAATTATAGGAGATGCATGAGGCTTCAGTCCTAGCTTAACATAGGCATCAAGGCTGAGAGATTGAGGCAAAATAGACCTGTTCTCTTTGATTATCTCTGATTTGCTACTCTGATGGCATATATTCGTGTTAAAAGAAGAGGCCACTAAGCTTGTCTTTGTACTGCATTGGCAATAACATCGCAAGAGAAGTTCTTAAAACAGCAGAATCAGACAAAGTGAAAGGAAAGATCAAATAAAGTAGGGGAAGTGAGAAAGCGGCAACACATACAGTACGGCTGCGCAGACAATTTAATTTCATTTTAATTAATCTGACCACTGAGAAAGGGAGGGAAGCTCTTTATATACAGGGAGGTAAGGAGCAGCCTTCTGCCATAACACTGAGATTTCCTTTGAATATTGTCTCTTAATGAAATGAAGGGCTGCACTCTGCTTTGTATTTCACAGAATTAGGGAAGATCAAGCAGTGTGCTGATCCCCTGCATCCTGCTTATGAAACCTGCAGATGATGGATATGCAACCTCTGTGAAATTTTCCTGTTGGTGACTCGAGGCAAACAGGCTGGTGAGGCAGGCTTGAGGATGAGATCGTGGTTAGAGAGACTGCCTGGGTACCAGAGCTGAAATCCATATCCCTGTAGGGAGGCCTGTTACACTAGAAGCTGAATGTGGCTTCTGATCATCCTGGTCATGCCATTGCTAAGTGTCTTTGTGCTGCTGATGTATTAACTATGATCGGTATCTCCCCCTGCAATGCACTGGAGCAAAAGAGAACTAGAGCTCTGACTGTTATTTAGTAATGTGGGTCAGCAAAGGAAGAGGAGAAGAGCTGAACAAGAGTCCTTGGCTTTTACTGGGAGAACTTCTTCAGAATGTGGGAAGAGTAACTAGTGTAGCGGGGCTATGAATGTGGAATTTCATGGGAAAACACAAGGTCCGCTGTTATTGATCTCTTTCCCAAACTCTGTGTGGTCAACCTAACAGTGTTGGCTTGGAGGCTGTAGGTCTTGCTCAAAAATGGAGAGAAAAGCTATGAAAAGAAAGGGATTAAAAAGAGAACAGAAGAAAGAAAAAAAAAAAAGGCAAAAGCATTCCAGCTGAAAACTAGGTTTTCATGTAGGCCAGCTGTTGTCTTTAACAGCAGCAGGTCCCAATTTCCACTTTTTTGAAAGTACAAGTGAGAGGAATGTAGAGGCGTGTGCCATTCAGTGACTGCAGAGAGATGAAACTGGGACGTTTATGAGATCCCCCAATACAAGATTCATAATTATCAGTCTATGCAGCAAGCCCTTCTAGCAATGCAGCCATGTTTAAAAGAGTACTTAGCTTGCTCCAGTACAGAGCCTGTTTGCCAGACTGTGTTGGGGGGGAGAAAAAAAAGATTTTGCCACAGGGGTGACCTGGTGACTAATGAGTTTCATTGATCTTGTGCTTGCAGGAGAGAGCAATCTACCCTCTACAGTTTCTGCAGACTTTTCTGCTGGAGGCTCTGAGAAAGCAAATGTGAGATGTTATCCAGAAGCCAGGATGTGTGAGCACACTGAACCTGCTGATGCTGCTCTCTCAAGTATGTATGAACACAGTAATATGGAAGATGCAAGCATCAGGAAATCTCTTGATAGCTTTTACAAAACATATTGCAAGAAACAGCCAGGCAGCACGGATCCCACCTATGAGGCTGCATCTCAATGTCTTTTGAAGAAGATTTCAGAGCTAGCAGACCGGGATGGTACCAAATATGCATTGCGTTGCCTGCAGATGGCCCAGCTGGTCTTGAACAGAGACGGATGTAAGATCTTTCCAAACCACCCCACTACTGCATGTTTTTCCAAGCCAGCTGAGGGACAAGTCATGCTAGAGGACAGAAAGAGAACACCTGGACTATCAGATGACATCCTGCAATTCCTCTTCAAACAAACACAGATAGAATGTAGCCCTGATGTACTGCATGAGAAGTGATCAAAATGCTGGATTGTTTGTGTCACTGGTGACTTTCTTGGAAAGACACTGTTCCTCTTAGTACCACCTTTGACAGCCCATATTCAATGGGAGAGGGTTCATAAGGAGCAGAGCTTGCCCACCTGGTTTCTGCAGGGTAGCAACACCTAAAGAGCACCTGCAGTCCAAATTCAGCCCCTGCATAGGCATGGAAGTTTGTCCATGTGCTGGTGAATATAGCAGATGACTGAACAAGCTCAGCATGGTATGCCCCAAACCTAAGGAAGTAACTTAAGATTTTGTTCTGTACCTGACTGATACTGTAAGGCCTCTGTCTCCAAGATGGTGGTTGAAAGTTGGTGTGCCTACCCACAGACATATGATCCCGCAGGTTATCATTGCAGCATGGGAGAGTTTCTTCAACAGAAAAAAACATGCACACATGAATCAGAAGAACTACAGCTTCTGAATAGGTTATTTTTTTACAGGAGGGGAAAAGAGAGAAAGCAAAGTGTTATCACCTTAGTGATGTTTCTAACGCCTCGGATGTACTAGCTAAGCAGAATGGGTTTTCTGCTGATACACGTGAGCTGTTTTAAGAACAACCTGAAATAGCTGCTCGAGCAGGGACTCTGCAGATGTGTTCATAGAATCATGTACATGAAGAAACTGTGGAGTTGATGCCAGCTGCTCCAGTATTTGCCTGCTGTGAGATGCAAAGAACCCTAAGAAAAGCAGAGATCACATCTCAGCATGCCTGTGGTTTGTTTGGTTGATTCTGTACTATGGCTCTCCCTGCCCAGTAGCCTCTGCTGATTTCTGCTGTCATGAAATATGAGCCTAGAGCTTTTACAGAGAGGAAGCCAATCTTTAATGCTTTAGTACAACCTGTTATCTTTATTGACACTGCAAAAGACCTTGAGATTATTTTCCTAGTGTGTTCATGGATGAAGTAAAAAAAAGTTCTGTGTGAGTTTTGAACCATGGGAGTGCTTTCTGTCCAGTTAAGGATCAGCTGGCACTAGCTGTCTGCAGCAAAGACTTACTCCTTCTAACACAATCTGCTGCTGCTTATACCCAGAGCTTTCTTGCTCTGGCTTTAGGTGGCAAAATTACCACTAGCTGCAGTGGAAACTGGCCTAACACACTGGTTTCCCAGCTTGGATTGTGATGACTCTGCCACTTACCAGATGACATTAAGAGATGACTTGAAGGACTCATTTCCAGCAGTTCTTTTTCATCATTGCCATCTGGGAAACTTACAGAGCTCTGGGTGTGATGCATCCCTATGCATTTGGCAAGTCTAATTCTGCTTTGCTTTGTGCTTATGGAAACTAGGAGCGAATCCCAAGGAAAACAAATTTATGAAGGAGACTGGACTGCTGAAGCTTTGCTGTGAGAGTGCTACTGTCACATGGGGCTGCAGTTCAGGCCCCTCTGCTCAGCATGTGGGAGTCCTTTGAAGTGGTCATTCAGGAGCAGTCAGAGTTCCTGATTTCTCTCTGGACTGGTAATCATAGAATGGCTTAGCTTAGAGGGGTCCTTAGCAGTCATCTAGTTCCAACCCCCCTATTTTAATCTTTAAAGTTATCAGTCACTAAAGCTGCAATTATTATTATAAATATTCTATTCCTGAATGATATCTCAGGCTTTAAGAGACACTCTTAAGAGAGCAAAGATAGTTATGTAGCAGTTCTTACCAATGTTACCAGGCCCACTACTTCTGTAGCTTTTGCATTGCTTCACAGTTTTCTCAAAGGGCTTGCTGGAAAAACTGTGAGTTTTGTCTTCTTTGTCATTAAGTTTTCATAAAAATTTGGGAAAAAAATGTTTTATGGCAGATTTTCATGTTTTAGGTGCTTAAAGAAGCAGAGCAGAACTCAGCTGAATAAAGCTCCAAAATCCCATTGAATTTTAAATGATAATAAAGCAAACTAAACGTTTAGGGGAGACTGACCATTGTGCCAGACACTGGATTGTGAAGTTAGGAGCCTACCTACATTTGAGTTCAGAATACCTGATCGTTACTGCTGTGAACTGACTGTTTCCATTTCTGGAGGAACACTTAATTTTAGGAGGTGTTTCACTGGGATTTTATAGTTTAATCACTGTTACTAAGTTAAACAAAACTGCTGCACAGAGAATAACACCCATCAGTCTCTTTCCCACTCACTGCTAATTAATTTTTTACAAACCTGTGCTGGAACCTGCTGTATGTATTTCCAAGTCTGCTGAAAGCCAAATGTTTTGCATTACTCATTTTCTCGATAAACATCTCAGTTTCTTCAAGTGACGGTGAGATGAATGCATCCCTCCTCTTTGCCGCATGCTCCAAATGAGACTCCCTGGTTGCTTTTGTAAGAAACACTCAAAATCAGTAGTTTCTAATCAGGCAAAGATCTTTGTGAAGTGGCAGTTTTTATTACTGCAGTAGTGGGTGTGCACCCCACTCGTGGCAAGGGAGAAATTGTGTGCTTAATCAGTGAAATCCATACTATTTTATACCCCTTGCCTGACATACAACATCTCTCCTGTCAGAGTGTCACAGGCTCACAGTCGACTTGGCATGGTTGCTAAGGTACACTTCGTATATGGTTTATCACTCACCTGTTGCTTTTCATTTTTCAAGAGGGGACAGGAGGACAGCGTACACTAGGTTCTCTCTATCCTGCTATTCACCAGAGCTAGTATCAGTTTCTACCCACCTGGTCAGAATGTTCTGAAAAAAAAAATGTGGCAAACTCACTCCACCCTGTACTAAGCTCTGCCTCAGCAGCTCATTGTGAGCTCTGGAGCAGGCTACCCAGAGAGGTGGTGGAATCTCCTTCTCTGGAGACATTCAGGACCTGCATGGATGCCTACCTGTGCAACCTGGTCTAGGGAGCCTGCTTTGGCAGGAGAGCTGGACTGTATGATCTCTAGAGGTTCCTTCCAATCCCTACAATGCTGTTATTCTGTTATATGCTACAATATATATGTTATATATTGTATGGATTTTAGCATTTGATCTTCAGCGTTTCTGTTTGGAGATGGCTCTTACCCTGCCAGTCCAGCTGCTGAGGGCTCTTAACCGTTCCCTTTTCACACTGGCCAGATCTCCAGCACAGATATTTTTTTCATGCATGTCAGATTCTGCAGTGCAGTTTCATGCAGGGCTGCTATTCCTGGGGATTGGTGCAGCTGCTGTACTCTGTGTTGCCAGCTGAGGGAAGAAAAATTGGGCTGTTGACTTCAACCAAAGCAGGAAGAAACCCAGCTGGCTGCAAACTATAGCCAAGATGCTTGGGTTTGGTGCAGTTTATGCTGGGATTGTTTGGGCTTGGATTGCTGTCCTTGAGTCATCATGAGACTGAGGTATATGGCTTGCTGATGGTTCTGCTTGATAATTTGCTTTAGCTGATTTTATGGTGAGGGTGCATGTGTGCTGGTAGGTACACAAAACATTGGAGCAGACCTTCTGCTGCTCCCCCAGCTGCATAAGTTTATAGAACTAGGGGAAAAAATAGAATTGAGAAGAGATCTGGCAGGTGAAGGGAACCAGTCAGTTCTGTGGTAGTAAATATCTCCTCCCAGCAGGTGCTGCTCTGTCAGAATCGAGAGAATAGCATTCTGCAGGCAAAGGTTATGGAGGAGGACAATATCAACTGCTACAGCAATAGTTATAGCTGGAAAAAAATAAATGTACTCTTGAGTGTTCTCTTGATAATTAGCCTATCCCTGCCAGCTCACATTGCTTAACCACCACAGATCTGTTGCAGGACAGATCTGTGTCAAGAGTACAAGGACATTAATACTGATGAATGTAGGCAGCTATTGCTTAAAGAGGTTCAGTGGGGAAGGAATACAGTGTGAATCAAATGCCACTTATAATTTTTGCCTGCCTTTATGATGTTCCACTGTGTTAAGTGAGATGCTGCACAAAGCAATTTAACTGACATTTTACGACAAATAATCTCACAGAAGGAGAGGTAGAGAAATTAAAGTCAAAGCATCTGAACACCTTTGTTTGCTGGATTGGGTTTGGTGATGAATTGGTCTAAAAACACCTGGTTTCTTATATATATATGTATGTATACACATACACATCTCTATATATATATATATCAGCTTTTGCTTAAGCTTCTCTGGGCTGAAGCAACCACTGCCTTCAGCCTCCTGGCTTTCTCATCAGAAACTTCTGATGCAGCAAGAAAAGGGATTGTAGGATGCATTTCTCTTCAGCCTTCCAGGAAAAATGAGATGCAAGTAATGACAAAATAGGTGGTTGCTGAAAGAGCATGAAGATAGATATTAGCAAAGGAGATCATGAAACTCTGGGATTTGAAAGATAGACATAGGCAGAGCTGGATGCAGCAGAAGTACCACATTTGCGACTGACATCTACAAGTCTTGGCTGGCATTTCACAGAGGACGTGGCAAGTAAACTCTGTGCTGCTGAAGCACGCAGTCTTTTGAAAAGTTTGCACCTCTCATGGTCAAGAGCACCTGGAGTTCTTCTTTGCACTGTTCACTTCCAGATACAATGTTCAGCTGACGCCAATATGCCTGCCAAAAATAGGTCTATGTCTCACACTGAGACAGAAAGAAGGGCAAAACAGAGCCCCTTGGAATAAACATCCCTGGAGCAGGTGATAAATTTGATGCAGGTCTTGTTTAGAGGAGAGGATGTTTTTTCTTATCTGTATCTGATTTCTTCTCTAGAGTATGAGGCTTGTTCCGGTGTTCACTGTAGATGATTAAGTGCGTAGTTTTTGAGGAAAGTTAAATTACTTACAAGGAAAATTGGATAGGTCAAGGAGATCCAGGGGGTACCTCTCGGTTCAGGTGTTGATTAGGTGGGTGTTAATTTGATATCTGGGATGTGGTTTGGAAATAGTTGGCCATAGCAGCAACTGTGAAGAAACCTCTTTGTGTTGTGTGAGTGCTTGCAGGGCATCTTCTGAACAACAAAGCATTTCCAGGTCACTGACTCTGCAGGCAAAGCTCCACACTTGGTACAAAGAGGAGAGAGGAAACTTGAAGCCTTTGTGAGTGAAACTAAAGTTC